TACAGATTTTTTTACAGGAATGAAGTTTTTGTTTTCACATACAAATACATCCTTCTTAAAACAGCTGTCCAATTAGTAGGCGCCAACAGGAATGTGCAGAGAGAAGAATGAGCCGCATCGGTCTGCTACTGCGGAGGGAGTGCCACCTAGAAGCGGCCCTGGTGGGGGGAGCCCATCCGGGTGCAGGGTGCCCTCTTCGCCCTAGCTGCCCCCAGCATCCTCCAGCTCAGCCACCTACTCGCACCTCTACCTCGCCTTTGCACGGTGTGTGCCCGCCCGCCCTCCAGCAGCTCCTGGAATCTTTATTAAAGAGTTCCAAATGACCGAGGTTTTACTATGCTACTAAAAATAGTTGTGCTTACTTAGCCTATTTAATGAGCACGCTATTTCTCATTTTTCTGCCTGAGTAAACTGAAACATCATTCCAGAAATACATTTTTACTGAAATAGGAGGCTTGTTTTCTTCTTTGACTTTTCTCTTTCCCTTTCTTCCGACCTTTCCTCTCTCCACCATCCCTCTTAGCCCCCACCCTGACCCCTTTTTAAAATTTCAAAACATAAATGGGCAAGTAACCGTAATTTGGACTTGGCTTTCACGCAAAATGGACCAATTTTTTTAAGTGTGGTAATTTGTCCTGAAAATGGATATAGGGAGTCGGGCTGGAAAGGCTTTGAAGAATGGGGTTTTATGAGTGGAAAATGAGGCTGAGTGTGCGGGAATGCGCCTCGCTGCCTCTGTGCCTGCAATGGTGCGGGCACGTGCGATAATCACAGCTAATAGTGTCATTATTGTTATTATCACATTATGTTATTGCTATTCATCAGAATCTGACAAACCTTATTAACCCAGTTAATTGAACCAAGGGCTTAACATCCCAGTGACTTCGCAGAAAGTGCCTGGCAAACTCTCCAGGACACTGCAGCCACAGCCGAGGCCACTTTGCTTGCCAGGCTGTGGCAGCCGGCAAAGGTTTCCCCAAAGTGTTCCTGCCTGTGGCCTCTCTGGGAGCTTTCCAGGACACACTGGGGTGGCTGCTTCTCCCATACTTACTCCAGTCTCTTTGTGCATCCATCTCTCCCCCACCCTGTGGAGAAATCTAATAAAAGATATTTACACCAAAGAATTGTACACACACACACAAGATGTCGCCAAGACAACTCCTCCCCTCTCAGGCTGACACACCTGTTAGGTCACCCAGGCTAGTTCTGAGCACCAGCATACAATTCAAGCTGAACACCTGCTTTGTCTCAGGTGTAATGCCCATTGCTCCTAAGCTTCTCGACTCCCCCACAATCCATGAGGGTCTCCTCAGTCCCCCCACACGCCAGGTATCACCCCCCAAGTTCACCCAGCTCAACAAGACAAGGCGAATGATTAAGCCCAGGCTGGAGCAGGCACTGGGGGAAGCAGGGGCCTCTGAATTCTAGCCCTGGACAGGGCTCCTTCCTGGGGGTACAGCCTTCCTCATAGAGCCTGCGTCTCCCGCCAAATGGGCACTGACTGCCTGCTTGCTTCTCAGACTCAAAGAGACCATGGACATGACCACCATGTGTGGTTTTCAGGTGGACTACTGCTTCAGGGCGCAAAGCTGTCCTTCATCACCTCACCGGCCTCCTGCCACTGCCACATGCTGAGTAAGGAAGCTCTATTGGTCAACATGCCCATCCTCCCTCCAGAATCCCCTACAGGTCCCTGCTAGCCCCAAGGGTATTATCTGCTCCACTCACTTGGGGACAGTGGCACCCTCCAAAGCCTCAGCAGGGAGGCTGCACTGCTCCTGGGGTCCTCCACTGGGCCTGATGTCCATTTCCACTGGGCCCAGGTGAGTATGGCACAGAAAGGTCCCACCTAGGTCCAGCACAGCTCTAGAGAGTAAGGGCCGAGACCAGTAGATCACTGAACTCACAGCACCACCACTTACAGCTTCCTAACCTACCAGCCTCGGTTTCCTCACCTTCACAACAAGGATAAATGTGACAAGGAGCTTGTATTGTTAGGTGTGCTGCCTGTGACATAATAGGCTCAAATTGATCCCCTGGTCTCTGCTGCCCGCTTTCCCCTTCCCCCCTCAGGACTCTAAACACTGGCCTGGCTCTCGCACCCAGGTGTTAGCGTCCCCCTCACTACCGAGTGGCGTGGCACTGGGAGAAGTGTCTGTGGGTGGAGGAATCAAGATCTCATTTAAAGCCATGTATGAAAAGTTAAGAGGAGAACTCAAGGTTAACCAAAGCAATCAGGGAGGGCTTCCTGTCAGAGAGGGCCTGGCATTGAGTCTTGAAGGATAGGCAAGACTGGTACTGTGCAGGAGCAAAGGTGAAACTGACCCAGTGACAAAGGGGAGCCTTGGGAGACAGAATAGGGGAACCTTAAATGCCAGCAGAGGGGGACGAGGTTGCTCTCACAGAGGCTGCAGGGATCAGGTCTTCCTACTTCCAAACGGAACACTCCAGCCTCTCAGAATCTGGCTCCAATCTACTCCCCCCCCCACCCCCTTACACCACTCCCCACATGCAGGCAAGAGCCCACCTGCTTCTGTCTCTAAACCTTCCACAAGTGCCTGTCCCCTTGCTTTGTGTAAGTGGTTCCTTCAGCCCAGAAAGCATTCCCTACACCAGTTCAGGGGCACACATACCAGTACACATACACACTGATTAGCACTTTTTTCTAGGTGAAAATTGTATTGTTTTTCCTGACCATAAAGTGTGGCCCAACTACCTGAATTTTCCTAAGAAAAATCAGTCAAGCGTGGGGATAAAAAAAAAACAAGAGCATCGAAGCCGCTATTAATATGGTCATCCTGCAGATTCCCGACATACATGTGCTCACCTACCTTACACAAGCACACTCCCTACTATATGGATGCCACCATAGATGCCACTTTTCCAGTCAACTTACTATCACATACCACTTATTTTTATTAACATTTTTAACAGCCATGGTTGAGATTCATAAACATTTCTGCAGTCTCCTCAGCAATGGGGCGCTTAGTGAAGTTCTTATTTTCCTATTTTGCTTTTACTGTAACAGGCACAGTTGATACCCTTATCCATACACCTCTGTGCATCTGGCTCCTTAGGAAAGTTCAGGAAGCTTGGCCACACCTATGTGCTCTGAGGACGAGGGTGCCATGCTAGACCCCAGGCCCACTCTAAGGTTTGTCTATCTTCACCACCAGGCGAGAGAAAAAAAATGTCTGATTCCCACTCTGTGTGTGGTTTTAGTTCTCTGTGGTGTCAAGTACGTAGTTTTGCAAGTGGCTTTTCCACCCGATGACTCTTTCACTCCTCCTCTACTTGTTCTCTCAAGCGTAAGGTAAAATGACACTTTCTTGAGACCCCCTTGGGTGCCCACGCTTCCGGGCCTGCTGATGAGTTCCCCGGTGAGTGCAAGAGCAGGTGGAGGCCTGAAATGCCAAACCGCAATGTCACCAATGTCACCACCGCAGCAGCTGACCGGCGTGTGGGCTCGGTGCTGTGCACCACTGACAAGGCTGGCTCATCCGGCCTGCTGCACTCATGCCTGCCGAGCACATCCTGTCTGCAGCCAAGCCTCGTGTGGGCCTGCCTGCTTTACTGAAACCTTGGGCAGGGAGACTTTTGGGCCAAACCCCTCTTCTGCCCAGGCTGCAATTTCCTGGGCGCCACAGTCACCACCCCATCTGTACATACTGAGTGTTTCCAGCCGTCCTCTCCATTCCTGGCGTTCCTGGTGTTCCCAGTGCCAAGCCAGGAGTCACTGGGCCAGCAGATTCAGAGCCAAACCAGGCAGCAAGGAGGAGCCAGGGAACTGGCAGACTGAGGCCTGTCTGAGGGACCACCCTCCCCCTCCCAGAGCCAGGCACTGCTCAGGAGGAAACTATGGCCTACCTTTTAGAGTTCAAAAACTAGCTGATGGAAAAGAACAGGGTCACTGGGAGGCAGCAGAGCAGAGGGGTTCATTCTGCTACTGACTCGGCTCTCTAATGAGACTCTTGGCCAAGTGACAAATTCTCTGAATCCGGCTCGCCCACCTGAAATGCAGAGAACAGTCTTTAGAAAACCCTTGGATAGCATCGTAGTGCAGAGGTTCAAGGACCCAGTTCTTTTCCGGCAATGGTGTGACCTTGGGCAGGTGATATCATGTCTCTGAGCCTCAGTTTTACCAGCTTTTAATGCTAATGCACACCTGCCTGAGTGTTATGTGCTTCCCACCATGTGTTTGACAGTATCTCACACACAGAATTTCCATGGTCAACAAAGAAAACCAGCAATACCTTTACTACGGGGCCTGGATTCTGCCTTCTCTGGTCCAGGGGCAAGTTTGGAAGGTCTTTTTATCTCCAGTATTCCCATCGGGGACGGGGGGAGTCATGGACCAATGGTCCTCTCAGGATGCTACAGAGTAGTGGGGTGCCTCTGTAGTGATGCCACTGTCCCCTCACCACTCTGCAGAATTTTTCCCTTTGGGCCTCTTCCACATTTCCTTTGAGACTTTGGCTTCATTTTGTCAAATTTCAGTGGCACTAGCTGCCACCATCTCTGGGGTTCCCCATTTAAGAGACCTCTGCCCCAGCTGGGGCTTCAGTTAGTGAACTGTAGAGCCTTCATAATATTTCCCAGTTTTAGCCTTAGAGATCTCTACTACACTGGTGATCGCTATGGCACCAAGATATTCTAGCCTCCCCATGGCCTAGTCTATTCTTGGAGGTTCATGATATTTTTAATTCTGGGAGTCACATTTTCACTCTTCCATATGTGTACAGGTTCCACTCATTTGGATTTTCATTTTTTTAAATATTTATTTATTCATACAGAACTGGGGTACAGGCCAGAGATGCGGAGGGTGAAAGGATTCACCAGGGACAGAGTGGGGAGCAGAACAGGCAGATCGACGAAGTACACTGCTGAGGGGAGCTGTGGGCGGGTCAGGAGAGGTCTGCCGCGCCATGTGGTCACCTCCAGGACAGGCGGGGATCGAACTCATGTGGAAGTGACTTAAGCTTCTTAGTGCAGTGCTTTAACCTGCTGCGCCACCAGGGAGGGCCTGGATTTTCATTTTTAAATGGTATTAAGTCAGCAACCAAAAATCATTCAGTAATTCCTATCATTTGTATCAGTGAGGCACCAGTTCCTCTCACACTGGCAGCTTCTGGGCCCCATTTCTCCTCAGGTCTCATACCCCAGCTGTGTCAGCCACTGCCTCTGTGTCCTTTGTTCTTCCTTCTGTGCTCTCCCATGCCACTGCCTCACTGTGTAGGTCCACTGAAACTTGCTGGTCTCTTAGTTTGCTGTTTTGCCCATTACCTTGATTTTTCACGTGAAGAACCCAGTCTGACCCAGAATGCAGCAGTGCATCCCTTTCCTCCCAGCTCTCCAGGCCCGTTCTCCCCAGTCTCCCAGTGCACACAGGCGTGTAGTTAGGAAAGGGAAGCTCAGGGCAGAGAGCTGGGTGGGGGACACTTGTGTGTTAGTGAATCTCACTCCACTACATTCAGCTCCTCTCCCCTCACTTCCCAACCCCTGTGACCTGAATCAGCAGCAATTACCTCGCCTTTGTCCGTAGCTAGTGAGGAGATCTGAACCACCTTTTCTCTGGAGAACCTGTGGGATGATGGAGCAGGCAGGCCCAGGCAAAGGGGACCAGGAACTGAGAACCAAAACAAGCAGAGATGCCGCTGAAAGCAAAGCCTGACCTATGGGAAGGCAATTTGTTTTAGGAAGTGTCCTGTCTCACCTGTATCACAGAAAGCATCAAGGTGTGCAGTTTCCAGCTTCTCTTAATTTATTTCTAGGGGTTACTGTAATTCACAGCAGCTAATACTCTCAGTCACTGCCTGGAGAGCCACAATAGTAAGAACTGCTTCCTCATGGTAGCATCAACTGCTTCCTCATGGTAGAATCAACAAGCAGCATAAACAAAACAAAAGTCCAGCTACCTTTCAAACAGTTCAAGCCTTGGACTCCAGATCATTCCCACAAGAGCTGGGGGAAGGCCTGGGTATGACCAGAGGACTCAGGCCAGACCCCCTACCTCTCCCTGAGGCCCCCTAACCCACAAGGCTGGCAGAATGGAGATGAGCAAGCCATCTGGGGCAGCTCTGAGGATCCCAGGACTGAGGGGTGTTGGGGGTGGGGGGGAGAAAGAAGGTCCTATTTTCTACCACCAGGCCTGGGCAAGCAGAGCCATTTTTGCCCCAAGCAAATCAATAGAAAGTCTTGGCCAAGCCTGTTTGAGTTGGTGAGAGACCAAGTGGGAATTCCAATCTACCAGTGTTTGCTCTGCAGGCAAACACAGCCAAACAGAAATGCCGCTTTAGGACTGGGCGCCAAATATCCGTAGGTGTGTTCTGCCAGCAGTGCTGGGTCAGCCCTCCCCACGTCATTCTCCCAGTTCTCTGCTCTGTGACAGCCTCTTGTGAGTGCCCTGAAAGGCTGCTTGCCCCCTCACACGGCAGTCCTGTGCCCCCAGTCTCCCTTCTGGGCCTGGAACCCAAACCTTCCTGGTCCAACAAGCTGTCTGCCCACCACATCCTGCATCAGCTCCATCTGGAAACCCATTTCCTGTCCCTCTGCAGGTTCTGACCCCGGCTTCCTGCTCTCAGCTCCACACTCTCCTCCCTGACACCTTGTTGCTGGCCAGGGCACTCCTAGACCTACCAGATAGCTGCTGGTGAGCATGGACCCAAAGTTGGCTCCATCTTTTTTCACACTCTCCTGTGTATTTTATTTGATCTTTACAGTGGGTCGTTTTTATCAGCCTATTTCTCAGAGGAAATAGCTGAGGGTTTGAAAGATATGTTACCTTGCCAAAGTCACCCAACCAAGGAATCCAGGTCTTTTGATTCCAAAACCAGGGTATTTTCTAAATTGCTTGCTTGAAGCAAGGTTTTAAGTCTTTTGTTCACTCCCAGATGCTGAAGGCAATTCTCAGTATTCCTGGGGAGAGCAGGCAAAGTGCTTTCACATTCTCCTGAGCAACGCTGGCACAATGTGAGCAGTTGGCAATGTTGGCTTCGCCCCAGCTCTGAGTCACAATCTTTGCCTGAGGTTGGCCTGTCCTGCTGATGGGGCAGTTCCACTGGAAGCCCCTCCCAGCCCCCTGATCAGGCACTGGCAGCCACAGGTCCTCCAGAAGCCCCTTCTAGACCTCCTGACTGGACACAGGCTCTGAGCAGCTCCCTCTGCCACACAGACTACAGTTACCGCTTACTTCAGGCCCACCTCCCAAGGCAATATTAGCACAGGATTCTCATTGTTCGAGGATGAAGGTAGGTTCACGGGCACCCCCCCCACACACACATAGGGTCTCACATTCCAGAGCACTGCTTCTTGACACTATTTATACAACTTTCTATTTGGTTTAGACTGAGGACAGTTGTACATGGAAAGGTCTGAGTTACTGCAGAAGTCACATGCTCACTAAATTTAATTACTGTCTCTTCTTCAGGAGAATTTTCTTTCATCCAGTCAGAATGGATCACTGATTCCCAGATGCAACCATGGGGACCAACCATGGTCAGGGCTAGATGTTGCTTCTCATCACAAGACACACAGCAACTGCACAGCTCAGTGAATAGAAGTCAGAGGCATGAGAGAAACCATGACTAACCTTCTTTGTTCCGGTGGCCTCAGGGTGCCATCACCCAGGCCTTAAGCCTGTGGCCCACCCATGGGGGCATCTGCCCATCCATTCTCAGCTCCACCCCCACATGCCTTCTCTCACCTGGCTCTCCAGTAAGGGTCTGGGCCCTCGCTTTCAGCTACAGGTATGGTCTTCCACTGCAGCTCCTTATCTCTGATGGCACTGCCAAGGTGGGAGGCTCGAGATGCCTCCTTAGCAACTGGAAACAAGGAGAGCCAATCGCCCTGTCTTACCTGGGCCTTCAGAGAGCTCTGTACCAGGATGGTGCCTGGACCTTGGCAACTGGCAGTCATTTGGACAGGAATGACACAGAAAGTGCCACCTGTTAGGTGGAGAACCCCTACTAACCGTAAAGGGGGAAGCAGTCCAAAGCACCTGATGCTACCGCTCCCCTGGGCCTTGTACGAGGTGTGCCACAATGCCACAGGCCACTCCCCCAGGCCAGCCCACCCTGATCTCCACGCCCCAGCAGAGAACCCCACTGGTCAAAGCTGCGCCACTTGCAGCACTACAACCCCTGTGAGGGCCCCATGTGCCAGGTGTGCGGACACCCACATAGATGAGTTGGCGGAGGTTCCAAGACCAATAGGGCCACAGCACTTCAAAGGAGTCATATACTCTTGTGGGGTAGCTGCGGGCACTTCTTCGTCAGGTGGCTTCTCTATGAGTCCAGTGGTCATTGGTGCTGAGGTCAAAGGAACAGAGGGCCAGTGTGACCCCTGGATGTGGTCCCTGGCCAGGGGGAATGGTGAGCCTCCTTCTCTCTACTGCCAAGGTCTGGTGGTATCATGTGGGTGGAGGGGATCAGGTGGACTCCAGGGAATCAGGCCTCATGGGTACCCACCCAGACCCAAGCCCCCAAATTAAGGAAACTGATGGCAACCATAATTAAGAGGCCTGTGCAGAAAGCCTCTGTTTAATGGGGAACCTGTCTGTCACAGGCTTTGCGGTACCCAGTGCCAGCGTGACCCGCTCCCAACTACTCAGACATTATCCGAGGTCTGGGATGGCTTCTTCTGGGGCATTTCCTCAAGAAGCTGGCTCAGCACATGCACGATCTCATAGTATAGCTCCTGAAGCCTGGAAATGGAGCAGAAAGAGAGGTGGTCCTGGCTCAGGGAGCACACCTGCTCACCCAGGCCCTGCCCACCATACCTACACATCCTCCACACCTGGCAGAGGTGAGTTTGGGAGAGCAAGGACTTCAGAGCCAGATCAGGCTGGCTGGAATCAGGTCTGCCACTCTGCTGTGGCCCTCCAAGTGACTGAACCCAGGTGTTGGGTTGGAAACAACAAATTCCTGGGATCTGAGTGACAGGGCTACTGGGAGTTGACCAGACACTGCCTGGCTCCTTCTTGGACTCAAAGTGTGTATTCCCTGATCCTTTCCTTTTAGTTCCTCCACTCCATGAAGAACGCCAGGGGGCTTTTGTTGAGAAATCAGGCAGTGTTCTCCCTTGCTCAAGAGTCGACGGAGTATCTGTCTGCCCCATGCTCCTGTCCTCCCTGCTCAGTGAGATCAGCTACAAGCCCACCTAATGCACACTGAGCACAGTCCAGACCAGGCCACACTCAAAGCTTCACACACACTGTTTTCACAGAATCAGCCCAGTAGTCCCTCAGGTGACAGATAGGTAGGGGAGGCACAGAGACTGGCCAGTTAGCACTCTTCCTTCTGCCCTCTGAGAAAGGGTGAGTGAAGAAGGCCTGGAGAGTGGAAGGAGTCAGCATTTAAATACAGGTCAGGGTGCAATAAAGAGGGGTGCCAAGGGCATGTGTGCCCTGTGCACACACAGCATCTGCACCCCCAAGAAGAAACTCCTACCTAGCCTGCACACTGGAAAGCACCCCTTGCTCTCCCAGGGCACCTGACATGGCCCTGCCTGCAAGGAAGCCCAGGGGATCAGGAAAGGCCTGGTCTCTGGGGCAGGAGCAAAGGGGAGGGACTGGCACTGACTTGTAGATTGTATTGTCCTGGTTGTCAAGAGTGGACAAATAGACATCAATGAAGGGCAGGCTAGTGCCAAAGTCATCCAAGACCATGGGGTCATCATGCCGCAGGGTCTTCTTGAAGTTCTTCACCAGATCACTGAAACTTCTGTGGTTAATGTTTTTCTAGAGGGAGGTAGAAAGAGAAAATGGTGAGGAAGGGATGAGACCCAAGATGGACAGACACGCAGGGGTTCTCCATGAGGAACGCCAGACAGCGGCACACCCTGGCCCCAGGATGAGTCACCCAGGTTCATCTTGACCCTTTCTGCGCCTGGAAGCCACAAGGGAGCCCTGTAGCCACTCACTGACATAAGGGCAGGTGACACAGGCAGGAACCAGCGATAGCCAGACCGTGACTCAGGATGATCTCACCGTACCCTGGGAAAATGCTGGGCCCAGTCAAGGCAGTAGAAGGCTCCTCCTCAGAAAGAAGTGGGGAGGAGTGCACGGCCCCCACAGGGAGAGAGGGGCAGCATGTGCACCACCCACAGACCCCAGGCTTGGGGAGCGCTGCGCACAATGAAGACAAGACTGCTCAGCCCTCCGCAGCTGGAGCAAACTTGTTAGGAAACCACCGAATGCTGTATTCACTCTTGTCCCGGTTTAGAAAATGAGTTTGAGTGACACCTATGAGGGCCTCTGTGGATCACCAGGGTGCCATGCCTGCCTGGCATCCCCCGAGCTTCCCCCTCCCCTCACTGTCTGTCTGTCTGTCTGTCTACCTGCCTGTGGAGATGACCAACCTTCGCCTGGATCAGCCTGCTGATCTCCTTCTGCTGCCGCTTCAGAATCACCTGCTTCTCTTCCATGAGTGTCATGTGCCTCTCCAGCATCAGCTCCCGCTCAAATTTTTTGATGGAGTCCTAGGAGTAGGTGGATGGAGGTGAAGAGGAGCTCTCACCAGATGCCCCCTTTCATCTTCCCTAGCCTTGCACTGCTGGTCAGGCCTCTCAGCAGGGCCTGTCCCACACAGGGCCTGTCCCCAAATCAAGCTGCCAATGACAGCTGCAGTGGCCTCCCAAGCCCAGTGCTGGCACTGTCAGAGGCAGGGAAGCACTCTGGCTCAGAGAGCAGTGTCAGGCCGGGGTGGGGGGTGGGGAGCATGCTCACCTGGCCACTGCCCCTCCACATCAGGAGCGAGGCAGCTCAGGTTTCCTCCCTGGAGACCTGGCCTATAGCTCCACCTGCCACTAGTTTTTTTTGGTGTTTTTTTTT